GACGCCTTATGTTCTCACGAGTGTTTGCTTCTATTGAAGAATATTTTTACTGTTCCTGAGGGATCCCGGTTCTCAGGATGGACGATGGGAACTGCAAAATCTAACATGACCAATCGAAACTCCTCCTTTGCTGACAAGATCGAACTCGATCAGGGGCATTATCACAATCCTACCTATCCCCCTCTTAGTTATTGTGGCAAAGGTATTGCGTTTGCACTGTGCGAATTTTTGATGTTTAGCGAGGATTTTGGTAGATTTGACCCAGTTGTGAAACAGTTGACAACCCCTGTGGGCCTCGAAGCTACGGCAGCAAGTGAAAGGGCTTCGGTGTAGCCAACACTCTAACCATATCAGCGCTGTCATTGCTGTTGTGGATTCGAACCCCACCAAGGCCGCCGTATTCTGCACAACTGCACTAGTCATCGAGTGGATTGGTTGCTTACGGCTGCTACTTGAGCAGCCAGCTTGTTGTAACAGAATTGGTGGATTCCATACCCTGCAGTAGGCTGGGCGGGTAACTCGACCCTGAGGATAGATCTGTGGCGGGTTTCGAAACACCAGGTGAATAAAATTCTTGTCTCAAAGATCACCTCGACTTCTTCTCTAAACTCACACCTCCCGTAGGTGCCTCTTAGCTCAGGTGGCTAGAACGTGGGCTGCATCGATGCTGTCATGGGTTCAAATCCTACCGAGGCCGCCGAATTCTGCTCAGTTGGGCCAAGGTTAGTTGGGGTTGGCTGGCTGGCTGCAGCGGACTTTAACTTTACCACACTGAGAAATCGAATTTAAGCCCCTGTTCAAGATACGTACAGTCCTTCTCATCGCTCGAGACGCCACTACCGCTCGCCTTTATAGAACTGATGAGTCACTCCCCTCCCCTCCCGTGCAAAAAAGCATAGTTTTTTGGAAAAAAGACGACTTTATTGGATGCCTGAGCACAGAAAGTCTTCCGACAGATTGGTCCTTACACCCTTACTCTGGGTTCTCTTCCAAAAGTCGGCGAATATGAATGGCCATCAGGGAGCGAATCGCTGTGCGTCCTAGATTGCAAATGAATTAGGTTAAAAGGACACTAACCGTCTTTCAGGGCCAAGCAGAGAGACTTGAGGGCTGCGCCGGTCTTTTGACCCCGTGGGTCATTCTTCAGGTAGTCCTTCATCTTCTTGTAGCCCATCATAAGCTGCGTGGTAAAGTCAACTTCCTAAACCATGAGAGAGAGGGAGAAAGAAAAACGCAAGTAGAGGAGGGAGCTTAAGAGAACAATCTTTAGAGCCAG